CTGCCTGCTGCAGTCAGCCCCGTGTCCCATCCCACCCCACACCTTCCTCCACGCTACAAGCACAATGGAGCAAGCCTTACCCTGCCTAAGGTGCAAGCCACATTGGTTTTCCTGCTCTTCTTCTCTGCTAGTTGTTAAAACATCCAGTCAGAGGTTGGGTACCAAAACACCGGGTACATCACCCTCCCGTCATGAGGCTGTGCAGGGAGGAAGGCTGTGGCTTAAGAGACATCTCTGTCCCCAGAGCTACGTGTGTGATCGTGCCCACCACATATCCTGTTGTTCCCTTCCAGTGCAGAGAGCTGGAGCCATGCAGGCAGCACAAAATACAACACAAAGCCCAGGTATCGGGCAGATGTCTTTGGGGACAGGCAGGGCATCATGGGAGGTGATGGGTATGTGCTGCTCTTCCACACTGCAGCATGGCCCATGTCAGAAAGCCACCACATCTGACATCTCTTTGGGTACCACCATGGGAGGAGATGCTGATGGGGGCCCTGCATGGGCAGAACCTCTGTTGTTCCTCAGCAAAGCTTAAGGTGCAACCATTGTCCAGCATACGCACAAGGTAAACTTGTTGGTTACCAAGGAGCTGTGCTGGGCTGTGCTGACACCCAGCTCCAGCGTTTCACATTCTGCCTTCACATCAGCACCGAATGCAAAATCCAAGTTGGGATATTTCCTATCAGTCTCTTCAAAGAAATTGAGACAGAATATTCCTGGGGCTGGGATTGTGTATTCCTGCCCTGAGCAACAAGCTGCAAATGGCACCGGTGTTACTGAAATACATGCTCCAAGTCATCCTGATGCAGGAGGTAAAGAGTCAGAGCAGCAGTGGAACAGCCATTAGTTTATAGACTAAGGACTGCTTTTCCTTGCATGCATCATTTCACATTCACCTTCTCCAGAGAGATCCTTGTGCAGTTCACACCATCAGGTGTGGGAAGCCTGTGCAAGGAAAACTCGTTGCACATCCTTATCAAATTCAAAGCTGGGGTACCACCAAACACGGAGATCAGGGAGATCTCCAACCCAGTGACCAAGCTAAAGGTCTACACCATGGAGAGATGAAGGCTGAGGAGTGCTTGTGGTTTGCACACTGTGAATGAGGTGTGTGAGAGTACACAGAAGAAAGGGCAGTGTTGGCCACCGAGTTGGAAACAGCTACAGTGGAAAGATAGCATCTGGTGTGTGACAGTTGCACTTGACATTCCACAAACCCCTTTGGTGGTGCAGCTTTGCAAAGAGGGGGGCAGCAAGCTGCTCATAAACCACAGGCTCATTTCACACCGGAAAAGTTGTGTGCTTCAGTCTCAAGATTCTTTTTCCCCTCTGTTTGAAACAAGATTGTGTGATTTGGGGCTAGATTTTGAACTCTTCATTAGAACTTTCCATTCCTCCTCATGAAGGAGATCTTCTAAAGGGTAACGAGAGGAAGAATCAGCAGCACTGAAGCACGCACAGTCCAGCGTCAATCCCATCACTGATCACTTGCAGGGACCAAGCAGCGCTTGCTCATCATCAGCAGCGCCACATCAGTGCTTTGCAATGGGGAGCCCTCCTGAAGCACTATGAGGAGATACCATGGACAACAGAACAAGGGACCTCATAGAGGATGGTCATTTTGATGCTCCTTTTATGTCTACCAGCTGTCGATCGCAGTGTAATTCCCATGTCCTGAGATGTGCTCTTGCTGAGGCTTCCACGTGATGTCTGGTATTACCGATGCTCAGAAGCTGAAGAGTTTCTTACCACCATGAAGAAGTCACTGAGATCCTTACCCAAAATGACTGAGAAATCAACCATATGTGAAACTCAGCTTCTCCTTCAGCAATGATGCCCTGAGCTCCTTCTCATTTCCCTGTCTTCTCTGTTCAGTGGATGCAAGCAACCATAGAGAAAGTGAATCCTGAACTCACCTCCTGCCAAGCTCCATTCAAGAAAGGCTTCCAACACTCTTGTCAGTCTGTTCCCTGCATAATTTTGTCTCTTCTCTCCTTTCTCCTGTCTCCTTTCGCTTAATTATTTGACATTCATTAAATACAGCCCTAAGCTGGTCCTAACATATAAAGATAAACCTCTGTCAAAGGCAACTTAGGTTGGAGTTCACCAGCAATCAGAGCCCGACAACCTTATCTATGAGTAAAATAGCTAGGTTTGGGAAAAGAGAAAGGAATTACCCTCTACTGGCTAACCAACCTCTTTGGTGCCCTAACACCTTATATGATGCTCTGCAGAAGCAAGTGGTTGAGTTTCTCCTTCTTCCTTTGTCACAACTGTGGCACCACAATAGAATATGTTATATTAATATACATTAATATATGTTACATTAATATACACTAATAACGTGTTACTAATGCTGCTGTTTCACTGGTCTGACTCAGGCCCCCAGTCTAACAATGCCAAGTCTATTGCAAAATACCATCTAGAGGACAAAACACCAAACTAGACAGACATTCCTTAACTGATTTTATTGGCCACTTCCTGCTCCCAGTTTTGGACCAGGTGATCAATATAAAACTTACATCACTGACGTAAATCCTTTATACAAGTGTTGGTTTTAAATGGGAGCTTTTCCTGGAGGCCCTGCTTGTGCCTGGACATTTCCATAATCAAACAGTGCAACTGGTTTAGCTGTCCTTATTACTCTGTGAAACAGGAGCAGCTTCACGCTGAGCCATACCTAAACACAGAAACCAGAAGCTCTTGACTCTTCGTTAGGGACTGTAGTGATAGGACAAGGGGTAACGGGTTAAAACTTAAACAGGGGAAGTTTAGATTGGATATAAGGAGGAAATTCTTTCCTGTGAGGGTGGTGAGGCACTGCAATGGGTTGCCCAGGGAGGTTGTGAATGCTCCATCCCTGGCAGTGTTCAAGGCCAGGTTGGACAGAGCCTTGGGTGACACGGTTTAGTGTGAGGTGTCCCTGCCCATGGCAGGGGGTTGGAACTGGATGATCTTAAGGCAGTTTCCAACCCAAACTATTCCATGGTTCTATAAACAAATGATCCCTGCCCCAGCTCATTTATTATTTCAGAGACATGAGATGGGGGGACAGGAAAGGGGTGGTCTTGTCCGATCATATACAGATGTCTCTGTTGGAGCTACACTTGCCTGGATCCCTCTGGCCAACAAAGAGTGTCCATGCAGAAGAAAGATGTGTGACACCCCCCCTTGCAGCTGTATCTCTCTGCTGACAAGAAGCTTTTGTCTTGCCTTTAAAGGATATATTTATGAGCAGTCTATTGCAGGCAGCAGAAGGGAATAGCTCCCCCTGAAGCCATCTCCTGTGACTCCCCAGCACAATGGGCAGGAGTCACAAGACACAGGGGCTGGTGGCACCATTCGTGCAGTGATGAGTCACAAAGTGCTTCAGCAAGTACGTGTGTGAAGAGAAAAAGGAGAATGGTGACACAGTCTGAATGTAACAAAGGGAACAGTGGCCTTGCATGGAAACCAGCTCAGGCCATGAGGACCAAGATCTAGGACACCTCTACACCCAGGAGAGGAACCTCTGCGCTCCGGTTTGTTACCCTGCACTGATCCATAGAATCATAGAATCAACCAGGTTGGAAAAGACCTTTAAGACCATTGAGATTCATAATGAAGAGAGAGAAGGAAGATACCCTTGCTAAAAGGCAACATCCCCTCCTGGATGAACCTTTAGATGTATAGCACATCCATCACTATACCTCTGAGGACACACACTATGCACTGTAGTTAAGCATCCACACCCTACATCAGAGTGAGAACCTGGTCCTGACAAACACCTGAACCACCCTCTTTTGCCAGCAAACTCACTCCCATTTGAACCATACTGAAAAACGGGAATGAGGAATTTTCCTACTTTGGTCTCAGGTTGTACTTTGGAAATTGCTTCTGAAATTCCATTTGCTGTCACTGAGGTGTAATAGTGATGAAGTTAGGAGGCACCCACACAACAGTCCTGGTGGATGGCAGGGACCAGCTCACTTCTGCATCTCAGAAAACGTAAGACTCAACTGCAGTCATCTACAAGGCAGGCCATGGTTTCAGTTCCTTGTCTATATTCCTCCATCAGCTTATGGAGACAGACAATTCCCAAGAGCAGCTTATCCCATTATAAAGGGAAGGTGAATTCTACTTAGGATCAGGAGAAAGAGCCGCCCACTGAAACCAGGAGGAGCCTATGCAAGTATCACTACTTGATGTCCCATCTGGAGATGGACATCACATCATGGAGTGCTCAGAGGTGACACAGAGCTCAAGTCTGACATTTCCTTGACGGGACTGTGAGATCCAGATCCCTGTAATGGCATTTAACTGATGAAACCCATTTTATCTTCCTTTTGCCAAAACCTGCTCTATTTCAGGCAGACATCACAAGTCTCACAGCCTCAGTATGAATTTCACACATCCCAGCAGGGCCTAACAGCAGCTTTCCTCACTCACCAACATGCTTTGATGCCCAATGGAATAAAGCCAGCTCCTAACCCATTTTCCTTCACTCATCATTAAGCAGCAGCCGCAATAGCTACGGCATCAGCATCAGCAGCACCTGATTCCCGACACAACCAAGGAAAAAGGGGGATTTCTGTGCAATGGAGTCATAGAAAAACACCTCCCACAGAAAAGCAACCAACAGGAAAGCCAAGAAGTGCCAGTAAGAAGATCTATAACGCACCAGCCCACCAGCATCGCAGTTCAAGGAAGCATCACCCATACCCCTGTGCAAGTGGTCACTGGAGGCAGCAGCAAGGGCCCTCCCGGTTGGAGCACGCAGGGGTTTGCTGGCAGGGCGGAAGACCCTGTGGTTCCAGAAGCAAACCACAAGATGTCAAAGCACAACTCGAGGGCATGGGGCTCTCTCGATGGGTTTCACATCACAGACCACCTGCCTCGCGCTGAGCGGCTTCTGCAGAGAGGGGTTGCAAAGAGAACACCCCAGCAGCACCTGAAGAGTTCAGCTGCGGGGCAACCACACGTGTGCTCGGGGTAAACAACACTTGCCATGAAACACCCATGTGGTGGTGAGACAGGGTGTGCTCTGCCATCCATGTGAGACGCTGCGGGTGAGCACAAGTGAAGGCAGCAGAATCCCTGCAGCCTGGGGCCTGCAGCCAAAGCGTTGGGTTTGTCCATCACTTGTGTGGAGCTGGAGCTGCTCTGAACCCCCAGACGGCTGCAGGGGCTGATCCTATCTCAAACATGAGCACCATCAGTCTGGATCTCTAGGGGAGTCATTGAGGCAAAATCCTTGCGGCACCGTTAAGAGCTGGTAGTGATAAATGAGCCCGAATTCTGGATGAGAGCTGGTTTTCTTCAGGAGTCTCATTTTTCTCCTAATTTGCTGCAGATGTTGAACATCGCCCAAGAGGGCCCTGGTGACATCACATCCTCCCCAAAGAGCAGCACAGCCTACCCAAGTCAAGCAAGCAAGATCAGCTCTGCTCCGCTGCACCAAGGAGATGACCGAGGCTCCTGCGTTGCTCCTGCTGCTCGCACTGGGGCTCTGTGAGTATGGACACTATGGGGTTGTGCATCACCTTCACCGGGATGGGCAAGTAAATCCCTGCCCCTGAATCCAAGAAATTGGGCTAAATGGTTAAAGGGAATGTAAAAAGCAAAGCAAAAAGGGTGGCTTTGAGGTTTGCTCGGTGGAGGTGAAAGCAGCACGGATGGATGGGTGGCTGCAGCATCATTTGTGCTGGGAAGGGAGCCTGGCTGGAGAAGTGGTTCTAGAGGGGAGGGGGAATGGGAAACAGGGGGATTTAGCAGTCAGTGTTTTTAAGGAGTCACTTTGGGAAGGCTGGGAAGGGGTAACACGCCTGAGAAGGCAGCTGAAAGGCTTTAAGGGCAGCACTCACCCTTAAAGCCCAGGTGGCTGATTGCTGAGCAGCCTCCATGCACAGTCCCAGCAAGGACTCCAATGAAACCTTCAAGTCATGCAGGCAGCATGGTCCTCCCTTTGCATTTGACCTCACGGACAAGGAACTGGTTTGTCCGGAAGGAACATGACTCCTCCAGAGTGGTTCCCACAAGGATTCCTCTCCCACAGGCTGCCCTGGGATCCGTGGCCAGAGGGATACGATGAAGATCCACCCCATCAGGCAGCCCCAGGTGGGACAGCAGCTGGTGCTGCAGTGTGAGAGCAGCAACATGGACAGTGGCGTATTCTGGGTCCAGCAGGACAAGGCTGGGACCCTTCACTTCATTGTCTTCACCTCTTCCCTTTCCCGGACCACCTTTGGGGGGAATAGTATGAGGACAGCCGAACGCTTTGAGGCGTGGAAAGACATCAGGTTCTACTGGTTGGTAGTGAAGTCTTTCATGCCACAGGACGAGGGGAACTATTTCTGCCTCATGAACACCAACCAAGCCCTTTACTTCAGCCCTGGCCAGCCTGTCTTCCTCCCAGGTCAGCAACACCTCCACCCAACCTTGATTAGCTCTGCCAAAACACCCAGCACCTCTTGTCCCTGCCTGTTGTAACCGGTCACCTCTCTCACAGACCCCATTGTCCGTGCTTGCTTGACCAAGGTATTTCATAACCAGTGCAGCCAGAGGCTCCCTGATTGCATCTCGTGGCCAAAAGCAAAGGCGATGGGGCAGACACAGCATCAATTCTCCCCATCCCGCTTCTCCATCCCATTCATGGCTCTTAAGGGATAAGACTAAAGCAAAGTCCATCACCACCCCCTGAGCAGGGAGTGAGAAATAAGGAGCCTGCAGCTCCTTACTGGGTCTTGGGGGAGTCACAACCCAACGTGGGCTCTATGAGGTCCCTGTGGCCAGAGGCATGGCCTGGGGTGAGAGGGCACAAGGGCAGGAGGGAGCTATTCACTGTGTTCTACATCCATTTTCACTTACAGTCACCACCACAGTGGCACCCAAAACCACCCCAGCACCCACCACCCCAGCACCCAACATCACCGAAAGGGACCCCTGCCTGGAGACCCTGGATTCAGGTAGCTCTGCTGCATAAAGGTAGAGGGAAAGAGCTGGGCTCTGGTCCATTGATACCGAGGGGGATCCTGGAGGCGTTTTGGGGTGTGGGGTGTGTGAAAAACCATGGAGCTTTAGCAGAGTTGGAAGGATCAAACTCCAGCGTTTCATCCTATGTAGGAAATGGCATAAAAGCATGAGTGGGTCTCATGCCTGGGCACACTGGGAAGAGGTGGAGGGAGGTTTGGGGATGGGTTTGGACTCAGCAGGGGATACAAGAACACCGTTGGCTACACGTCCTCCCAGGAACTGCTGTGCCAATTCCCTCTGAAGTCACCAGGGTTCCCCAGTTAACCTACAAACACCACTCACGGGTTTACTTCTGCCTTTTGACACTGATGTGAATGATCAGCAGTAACTGATGCACCTGTGGAGGTCACTGGCGGGGCAGGGGGAACCCTCTGCTTCACCACCAGCCTCACCGAACACCAGGCAGGTGCCCTGCCTCCACGAGCACATGGTGGACCTTCCCCTTTCTCTCTTCCTGCAGAGACCAGCGAGGAGAAAGGGCTGGATTTGCTATGTGACATCTTCATCTGGGTTCCCTTGACAGCCGCCTGCTTCCTGCTCCTGCTCGCCCTGGCAGTCACCATCATCCTGTGCCAACGTAAGCATCACCCATAACCCTCTATAGACATTGCTTTAGCCTGAAACTGCAGCCCTGGCCTTCAGGGGAAGAGATCTTCCAGCTATCCCCTTTACATAGGCACCAGCTAACCAGGACAGCCAGCCCTAGAGAAGGACCGCTGCTAAAATCGCTGCATTGTACTCACCAGTAGGCTTAGGCTGAGAAATAGTTATCAGTTTAGAACCACAGAATCATAGGGACTGGAGCAATAGGACAAAAGGTGATGGGTTTAAAATGAAACAGGGGAAGCTCAGGTTAGGTATAAGGAAGAAGTGCTTTCCTGTGAGGGTGGTGAGGCACTGGAATGGGTTGCCCCGGGGAGTGGTGAATGCTCCATCCCTGGCAGTGTTCAAGGCCAGGGTGGACAGAGCCTTGGGTGACATGGGTTAGTGTGAGGTGTCCCTGCCCACGGCAGGGGGTTGGAACTCGATGATCTTATGGTGGTTTCCAACCCAAACCATTCCATGATTTCTATGATTTAGGTTAGAAAAGCTCTTTATGGAAGAAAAACACATTATAAGTATAGAAAACTTCACTCTACCAAACTGTATTGGCTCTACCATGCTTATATTGGTGAGTCAAAGGATGAAAGTACCAGAACCTAAACACTTTGACAAAATAAACCTGCCCTGGCACACAACTTGTGAATTCAAATGCCAGGACTCTTGTTAGCAGCTTGAGCTGCAACCGAATGAGCAACTTAACCCCACGGGTTCAGAGGCTCCTGCAGTTAAAGCACTAACACAGAATCTCTGGGTAGGCAAAAGTCCTGTGGTGAAAGCTCACCTTTCACTACCCTGAGCAAGCAGCAAGTGCAAATGTGTTGAAATCAATTTAGTGCTCACTGAAACCAGTTCAGCTTTGAGGTACCCCAGAGGTTGCACTGATTCCATTAAACCAGCTCAGCTCATTTGCCTGGAACACCACAGTGGTTTGCTGTTGAACGAACCCAACTGGATCCTCACTCTCCCCACAGCCTGGAGCTGGTGGGAGATGAATTTACCAGCCGAGCCAGCTGAAATATCATAGAATATCATAGAACCACAGCCTGGTTTGGGTTGGAAGGGACCTTAAAGCTCACCCAGCTCATCCACGGGCAGGGACACCTTCCACTAGAGCAGCTTGCTCCAAGCCCCTGTGTCCAACCTGCCCTTGAACACTGCCAGGGATGGGGCAGCCACAGCTTCTCTGGGCACCCTGTGCCAGCGCCTCAGCACCCTCACAGGGAAGAGCTTCTGCCTAAGAGCTCATCTCAGTCTCCCCTCTGGCAGGTTAAAGCCATTCCCCTTGGCCTGTCCCTGCAGACCCTTGTCCCAAGCCCCTCTCCAGGTTTCCTGTAGCCCCTTTAGGTATTGGAAGGCTGAAAATTAACTTTTCAGCATCCTTCAGCCCTGCAAACTGCTCAGCATCAGGGCCTGCAGCAATAGGAAGGAATGCAGGAAGAAAACATTGACGAGCCCAAGCAAAACATCATTCTCCTTGAGGGAAATGGCTGATGCTGCAGCAGAGTGCCCGGAGTTAGTGCCAATCCCCTCTGCACTCACCAGGGCTCCCCAGTTAACCTACAAACACCGCTCAGTGATTTCTTCCTGCCTTTTAATGCTGATGTGAATGCTCAGTGAAAACCCATGAGCTGCAGCCCATCGCTGCAGCCCCAGCCCTCAAGGGCAGATTCCCCCCCCTCTTATACTAAAATGAATGCCCAGGCATTGTATTTTGCTGAACACATCCCAGAGTAATCACCTAGATGCTAAAATGGGGAAGAGTTGCAGCATTCCCACTAGGAATTAATTGATGCCAATGGGTTTTCAGCAACATGCCAGAGCTGCTAGAGACAGCAAGGAAACCTGCTTCCCTGTCAGTGCTCCCAGGCTGATGCTGGTACTGTGACTCATGTGAAAACCTGAGGGGAATGTGAGCTGCAGCACTGCTTCCTTGCATGGCTTTCCTCCAAAACAAGCTGGGTTTATCCATCTTTATACGTCCTGAAGATAGCAAGCTGATGGGGAACGCCAGCCCTGCCTCACTGCAGCGTTTCTTTGCTGAGCTGTGAGTTGGTGTCTTTGAACTGACACATTTTCTTCTTCATTTTAGGGACCAAGAGACGAAGATGCAGATGTAAAAGGTTAGTGAGTGACGGGGTGGGTGTCTGAAACTTGGCAGTGTCTTACCCGCAAGGGATAAAGCAGGCAGGTGCCAAAATCCAACCTAAACCTTCTTCATCCGATACCCAGTGGCTGGGAGGGGGATGCGTAGTGAATTAAGGGCAAAAAAGAGAGGTAAGATTCTCTTCTCCCATGTCTGTTTCTTTAATCTTAAGTAATTCAAATCACTGAGCACTGACTCTGCAATAGAAAGACATGAGGTGTTTGTGGCAGCTTTTGTGCATCACTTGATGCTTGTAATGAACCACACTTGCGTGCTCTCAGGGCAGGCACAATGTGTTCCTATGTGCCTCCAACCTGAGCCTGGGGTGACCGTATTTCACTCCTTCCCCTCCCCAGACTGTTCATTCAGAATCATCATTGGAGCCATGGATTAGATTAGATACAAGCTATCGCATCCTAAATCCCCCTCTGCACTATTTTGGACCACCATCACCATGGCTTTGTGCCTCTATTTCCCCAACAGGCATTAAGGAACAGCAGCAGAGGGGCTGGTGCAGCCTTAGATGACTTTCTTAGATGACAGCAGTGCAGATGTGTATAGCTTTACAGTTAACCTATCTCCTCGGGCAGACAGGACCCCTTTCTTTATGCTCTCCCCTGCCTCCCCCATCACCCTGAGTCAGCAGGAAAACCCTATCAGAATAAGAACTGCAATTTGCCATTTTGGACAAAAATAAACCCTGTTATCCATGAGGAATTCACATTTTGCTCCTGCACATTGACCCCCTGCTCTGCACAAAACCAGGTCTGGTGCCAAGTGCACCCAACCCAGGCTGGTGGCAAGGGAGTGCTCCAGCACCAAAATCACTGCTCCTGCTCTGGCCGGGCTCACGCTTGGAAAAGCTGGGTTACCAGAAGGTTTGATTCACATCTCTGAAGCCTTATTCTTGTAAATCGAGAGTCTTTTAAATTGGATACAGACAATTGTTGTATATTTATGGGATTCATAGTAAAAAATAGGGGGGGTTAGCTGTCCAAATTAGTACGTTCAGAAAGAACCTTCCTCCCCCTGAATTAACAGGAATTGGATCCTTACAACTCTTCATTTCTGAAAGGCAGAACACATCAGAAATCACTGCTGGAATAACCTTGGAATGGTTTGGAATAATAATACAATAGCTTGGTATAGAACAAGAACAGTGTGCAAGGAGAGAGGCACTGAGCAGCAATGCCTTTGCCCCTTGGGTGTAATCTTATATCAGAATACAGCTGCAGCCATAGACCTGTGTTTGCTTTCACCTGGCTGAAGAAGGGACCAGCCTGTCCTGTTTATGATGGATATTCATCCTACCCAGCCCTCTTCAGATCCCTGCCTGGCTTTCCAAGGGCTAAATGCTAACAAAGAGCTGCTCTTTCACCCCTTTGAGGGCGAGGTTTGCATCCTTCACTTACATCAGTCCCTGTTACCAGCCCTGTGCAAAGATGCTCTGCTGCTAAGGGGGAAAACCGCTCTGCACAGCTCCGTGTTGCACCGGTGGGGCAGCTGGCTTACAAGTGCCTCAGGAAATCAGCTCCTCGAGGCCAGCTTTGCTTCAGCAGCGCTGAAGTGACACAGCTCTGGTTTAAGCAATTGTAGCCGATGTACGCTTTTATTTAGAGAGGGCATTCCTGCTGCTCCGAGCAGCTCCCAGTTATTGAAATGAAGCGCTTGGGAAGTTAACAGCGCAATTCACTCAATTAAAGAGCGCCTCAGGGGCTGGCCTGGGATTCTTGCTGGCAGCTGAAGGATTCATTTCCCCCCCCCAGATGAATGTGCAGTGCAAACCGGTGCCAAACCCTCAGCTCATTAAGGCAGCAGCAAACCATCAGTTGCTGGAGCCCAGTGACTCCAAGCAGTTTGGGAGCACACCCTAACCCCAACCCTAACCCTAACCCTCCCCTAAAACTCCTCTTCAGGGAACAGGCTTGCAACAAGCAAAAGTCCTTGTGGATTGAGAGCAACTTCCCTAACTCCAGGAAAAGCCCTGAGCTCTTCTTTATTCACCTCTGAGTGTGGGGAAAGGCTCACTGAGAGGACAGTGCACAAGTCAGAGGGGCACTTAAAAAGCCTTTCTTAATTAGTGTAACAATTCATTATCTTCATTAAATAGGATAAGGAGGACCTAAAGTCCTTCTACTGCCTGTATCTAGCTGAAATGTTTGCCATGGATTTAGGAGCACTTCACAGCCTGCTCTTGGAGGTCCCAGGCTGCAGACCAAGGCTAAAGGAGCTCAGCAGCAGCCATCCATCGAACACCTTCTTGTTCCTTTCACATGAAAGCAAATCAACCCCTTCTCCCCTCTCTAGACCTGCAAACGGGAAGCCCAATGTGAAACGTGGCACACCAGGACCACATGCATGAGCATCTGCACCATCTCCTGGAGCTGGCACCGCACAGGCCCATCACCTGCGTTGTCCACAATGCTACTCCTCATGCACTCTACCCTAAGTTAAAGAGAAGATGGAGCAGAGACACACGGGCAGCAGGCGGGCACTGCTGTGAACTGCACACTAAAGCACAGCTCCTTCCACAACATGAGGCTGTCAAATTAGCTCCCAAAGCTAAACACCCTCTCTATTCCCAGCGATGGAGCTCTGTGGCTCAGGCAAAAGGAACAGGTCAGTCCTGATGCTGCTGTGCATCAGTGAGAACCTGATGAGAAAGAGGGATATTTGCTGGCCCTTTGTTTGAAGGGGGTGTGAGATTACTTTCCAAATTGAATTTGCTACAAAATGAGGTAGAAATGCCCTCACTTTAATCACCCTCTTTGATTATACATGTAATGTATATTTGATTTTTTGTGTAATGTATATTTGCTTATACATGTAATGTATAATCAAAGTGCCATGTATGTCCTGGGAGTTTGCTTGTTTCATCTCATAGGGTGGTTTGGCTTGGAAAGGACCTTAAGATCATCCAGTTCCCAACCCCTGTCACGGGCAGAGATGCCTTGCATGCCTCATGTAACACAGTGCTGCACTGAGAAGGTAATTGTGGATTAAAGGACTTCACTTTTTAGGTTTATACAGTCCTGGGGGCTAAGGTTTGCTGCTTCCTCTCCTGATGCCCTTGTTCTGCTGTGAGCCCCCACTTCCACTGACTTCAGCAGCAGTTCTGCCTGAATCCTGGTGGGAAGAAATGGTTGAGTGGTTCACTTCACTTTGGTTAGGGAGGACTTAGAGCTTCCTGACCTGAGACATGTTGATTGAGTGCAATGAGTTCTGGTTTTTACAGCTCTGTATACGACGTAGGTATCTCCTTACTACACTTGCAAATCATGAACAGAGACACAAAGCAATAAAACACACTTTCGAGTCACACTCGATGATGTTTCTTTCTTTCTTCGCCTCCCAGCCTCAGAAAAGCTAAAATCCTTTGTGAAGGAAACAAATGAGGGTTTGAGGCCGTGATTTATGCACCAGCCTGAGCTTTAGGATGCCAGAGCTCAGCTTCCAGTTTACCACAGCCTAAAACAATCTGAAGTATCTTCCCAGGGACTTGCAAACGGGCCCCATAACACTCCGCCATGGCAGGGAACTGCTATGAAGGTGGAGGAGATAAAGGCTCTGGAGGTTCTCAGGTGTTCATGCCAAGGGGCTGATAAAAGCCTGGGGGGGAAAGGAAAAGAATGCAAGAAACCCTTTGCTGGTCTCCTCCTCTGCAAACGAGCTGGGAAGGAGAGAAATCCAGAGGAAAACAAAGTCCTTCTAAACTTAGTTTGCTTTAATATATAAACATCAGGGACCAGGTATTTTAAACAGTAGCAGGCAAGCACTGAACGACAAGGGTCCTTTCCAACCCTAACTGTTCTATGATTCTATGTACCTACATCAGTATGAAGCAAGAGAAAAGCCTTAATACTGCAATGACTGGGTTCACAGGCACTAAGAAACACTGAGATTCATTCAACCTAGTAAGGGTGAGCTCATTCAAGCCCCAGGGGCTCAGCTGGGGAGAAGAGAGGGTCTCACTGCATGTGGCCCCAGGGCAGTCAGCTCCTCACCAGTGTGCAGCCGCAGTGTGAGAGCATGAAGCAGACCTACTCATCAACCTGCTCCTAAGCAGGCTGGCTCCAACCTTTACCTTTATTTTAATATGCAATAGTTACTTAAACCAGGCCAATCTCATCCTAGAGTCAGCTCTAACCATGCAGAGGAACAGCTCACACCTTTCCCCTCTCTCCTATAAGCATCAAGTTCATTATTAACTTGCCCCAAGTCTCCTGACTTACTCTGAGCTAGAAGTTTTCACTTACAAGGCTTTAACTCAGAGTGTTTCTGCAGAACAGTTTCCAAGAGGCAGGCGCATCCCTGCCTCACTGCAGCATTCTCTTCCCTCACTGTTCTCCATCGCTTTTACACTCAGCTTTCACATTACACAGAGCTTTGGTCTACATCATGTCACGTTCCTGTAACCCAGGTTGCCAGGCAATGCTCCTGATCCAGTACTAACCCCCAGACCTCACTCCTCTGCCAAGAGATCACCTCCACACTTCCACAGGGAACTTCCCACCCCACTCTAGCTCTTTTACATGATTTTGTGGGAAGAAGGTGAAACGATCTCATTGCATCCACCTATTGCTGTTTGCCCACAACAGGACACACATTGTGCATGGGAAGCACTTCCCTCAAAATGCACTTTCTGAACTCAATTAGATTAACTGTCTAGTGTTAAACACTGAGCAGAAACCTAGCAGAAGTGGTTCTGACCATCATACAACTCCCTGCAGCAACTAACAGCTGCTGGGTCACAGCCAGATGCCTTAAAAGATACAGAAATCTCTTTGACAATAATGAGCCTTCACTCATTAATTCATGACCCCAGCAAGCTCCCAGCAGTTTCAGCACTGCACAGAAAGGACTTGCATTGCGTTAGTACTGCCTACCCAGCACATTCCCTTTTTAGAAGGTGTGTTTCACGTACAAAGGAGGCCCAGTTAAGAGACACAGTACAAATTCTCCTGCCTGCCAACATCTGGACAGTGGCATCACAGCTGTAAGCAACAAGGGCTGGGAACTGGGGGTAATCAAGCTATTCAAAATACGTGACTGATCACTCAATCCTATTAGCAGCTCTCAGCTTCTTACTTACTATCAGCCAGGCAGCATCTTCTTTATCTTCATTCATGTCTTTGGATCTCTCTAGAACACAGATCTTGGTGGTCTCTGATTTTGGTGCTTAGAGGGATAGGTCTTGGATCTTAGATAGCTAAAGGGATGGCTCACCCAAACTGCACATTAAGCTTGGCTGCAAACTGCATATAAGGTACCAGTAGAAATATGAGCCCTCTGTACTATTGTAACAGATATCATAAGCATAAACCTATCAAGAAATTAATTCTAAATGCATATCCAACCCTCCATCTGCAGACTTGGAGAGATACTACAAGTACATGTCCATGGACTGCTGTCCGTCCCAAGATACCCGGGGTAGAAGTTGTTCACTTGTGTCTTCTTACGTGGGCTTTTCTATGTAAGAACCACTGCCATTTAATGTGCTTTGGAAATACACCAAATAGGCTGGACTGAACTGCTGGGATTTGCCTTCAGCAAAGCTACCTCTGCAGAAGGTCAGAAGGCTGAGGGAACCAGAAGCAGCAGCTGGGGGCATGCACCAGAATAAACACTTGCTCTTCTCTAGTCACTGCCCTGAGCTTCCTGTTGAATACCCCAAAACTGAGGAACAATTCATGGGCAGAGAAGTTTGCTTTAAGCCACCAGCCTGACTTCACCGAGGAACCTCCAGCAGAAGTGACACAGCAACAGCTTTCCAGAGCAAGACTGAGTTTCCTTCACTAGCTCTTCCTTCCACGCAGTCCCACGACTGATCCATCTTCCAGTTCAGTCAGCTGCAGCCAGCACTGCATCTCAGAGCTAAACCTACAGCTCAGAAAGGTCAATCTTCCATTTACATGCAGAGCTGAGAAGAACATTCTTTACAATCAGCTTAGTAAGACCCAGGTTCTTTGCACAAGACATTTACCTTGGCACCCCTATTAATAAACTACCAAAAGAAGGCAAAACCCAAACCACACCTTTTACACTAAAACCTTACTAACCAGATGCAAATACCAATGCAGCAGTGAGAAGGGCAGGAGCCAAAGGCACCTCCAGCTCTGCTGCAGAGGTGACTGACTAATACAGCATCAAGCGAGAAGGCACGGAGATGCTTCTAGCACATCAAACAAGTTCAGAACAAACCTGACTGGGTTTGTGGCTGAGCAGCAATGCCTGGCCTGCTCCTTGCACCGGCAACAAGAGGAGGGCTGGCTGAGCTGCAGTTCAGAGAAGCAGCTCAAGGGTGCTTGTTTCTCCCGTGCAGGAAGCTGTTGCTGGACAGGCCTGCAGATCTGACAGCTTTTTGCTAACAGCATGGGGAGGAGGTTTTAGGTCAAAGCGAGTTGACTTTGCAAAGGCAAAAGCTGGAAGCTGTTACAGGTTAATACGAGACAAGAGTCTCAGCTATAGAATGACTTCCAAAGAGAAGAGGAAGGGATTAAGTTTGTTCAGAGATTGACAGTTACCTAACTCAGAGTTGAAAATACCACTGCAGCAGCTCAAACCTCTCAGAAGCCGATGGACTAAAGGCAAAAACCTTGGAGTTAACACTTAGTGATGGGAAGAGCAGGAGCTGATTTACAGTTTAAGCATAGCCTCAACTAATAAAGAACAAAAGGTACAAGATAGTCACTGAAAGCCCTGTGAAGCTGAGGGAGGCATGGGATGCCCTCACAACACAGAATTTGTTGGCCTCGTCAGACACATGCTTCTACCCTGAAATACTTTCTGAGTGATAAAGCATTTTGATGAGTTAAGTAAGCTCCAGATAAGTAACACAGCCAAAATGACCCCAAAAGAGCCAGTTACTGGAAGGGTTGGTTAAAGTCACTTTGTCCAAGCCTGGATTTTACTTGACAGATGAGCTGGCACAGTGAATGCAGCTAAGCTCAACCCAGACTCCTCAGACTAATGCTGGGGTGCATGTAGTGCAAGTGCTCAGAAGCCATCCCCTGGCTGCTGTTTCTACAGCATTCAGCACAGAAAAGCAGTGTAAGGTGAGGAAAGCATTGTAGAATCACAGTAATCTCTGTCAGAACAGTAACCAGACAGTGAAATACAGCCTTCCTGTAACTAGGTTTCTTCTTCTGATTCATCTGAAATCCAATCTATGTGGCATGCAGGGTCAGCATGACCTATCCATCACTGGATTCCCACCCTGAGCTGAGCAAATCAGATACTTATGATTTTTGTCATGGGAGAGCTATCACATCTGCTTGTGCTCCACGCTATTGAAAACCTCCTGAGTAATTTAGAAACCTTGGAAATACTGGAATTGACTTTCTGAAGTGGGGGGAAAATGTGAGACAAAAGAGCTGTGTTCGTATATTTAGTTCCTCCTCCAGCATGAAAGTGTCTCATGGATGATGCTTAAGACTTGAACTGAG